CAGTATACTATATATACTTTCTGCCATGCTGAAAAGAGAAGAAAAGAAACACAACATGTCAATTGAAGAAGGTTCCACAGCTGAAAAATTGTTTTTTTCTGAATGAATAGGAGTTTACTTGTTCCTTTGCAGCCTACGCATGCTGACGCAGCTACCCAGCTGAACTTCGTCCTGTATATACTGTATGCTTTGTCCTATCGATTACATGTTTCAAATCAACTTTTAAGTGAAGGAGTGGATGGTCAGCAAAACCTGCAATGAATACACAGAAATTGACTTAGTCTATGGCATAATTATTCACCCCCGTCAGTCAGTCAGTACTTGGTGGAGACACCTTTTTGAGTAATTACTGCAGTCAGTAATCCAAAGTTTCTATTGGATTAAAGCTAGGATTTTCACTGAGTCACCCAACGGTATTCTCTTCTTGTCAGACTAGTTCAGCGTGGTTTGATACTGCATTTCAGGTCGTTGTCAGACTGAAGTGTTATGTTTCAGTCCAGTTTTAGATTTTTGTGTGACATCATTTGATTGAACTTGAGTGTAATTTTCCCTACTCATTTTCCCTCAGCCCTATTAAACGTCCCGGTTTTGTGATGATAAGCAGCACTGCCATTACATTCTGCAACCACCACTACGCTTGACAATTGGGACCATTGGGCTTTGTGCTGTGTTAGGCTCGCAGCGGATATAATGCTTTGCATTTAGACCAAAAAGGTTTGATTTCTGTCTTTTCTGATGATAACAGCACCATCTGCCACTTGACAGCAGTATATCTCATGGAAGAATTAAGATTCATTTTTTTTAAGTAAAGGCTTCTTTCTTGGCCCTCTCAAATACACACCAGGTTTGTGTAGAAACCAGGATATTGAGATATGATTAGTACTGTCGCTCCCATCTCACCATCTCAGAGACAGGAATTTGCAGATCTTTCACTGTCACCATTGGCTTCACGGTGGCGTCCTTTGATGCCCAGCCTGATCTTGGTTCTCTCTGGGTGGTATGATGCATATTCCACTTCGTAATGACGTGCTGTACGGTATTTCAATGCACTCATACCTTCTTGTCATCAGTGCCTCTCTATCATTTCATCCCTTGTTGTGATCTTCTGTGTCACATGGCGAGCGGTGGTGAGAAAGTCAGTATCTGTTGGAAAGAAATGCAGAGACGTGCATTTCCAAGTTATACTCCTCTGCTGACACACAAGTGGTGACCGTTACGTTATTCTGTGACCTTCCAAGCTATTCTGTTGCACTTAAAATAAATTAGGGAGGCCGCGGCAAAGGGATTGAATACTTGTCAAATTAAAAATCTTCACTTTGTCTGGAGGAAAAAAATATTCACGCACCATTAGTATTTTTTAGCTTTACTGCTTTGTTATGGTATTATTATTTTTGTTTTTGTTGATGGATCTTGTGTACCTTCACTCATTCCCACATTAAGAGGGAAAAAAACGTCTTTCAATCATACAACAAGAGCAAAAAAATAATAATACGTAGCTGTGTTGGCAAAACTACTGATCAACATAAGAAGACAGCCAAGACAAAATATTTGTGTGTGCATTTTTAATTACTCCATAGACATGCTATTCAAGTTCATGCATGTAGCCCCATTTGAAATTTTTGACAAGTCTGTCATTAGATAATTATGGAAATGTCTTTAATGTTTTATATGTAAAAAGGGGCGTAATAAGAAAATTAATCATGGAATGAAAGGCACAAAGGTATTGCTGTAGATAAAGCTTCTCTACAGCCCAGCTCTGATCTTCAAGAATGATTTTTTCTCAGAGATAAAGAAAGGCTTTGAACGCAGTTGTCTTTCATATGGCCAGGAAAGCAAATTCTAAGGTTGGTATTCTCTCTTTCCACCTACCATATCTGAAAAATGTGCACATTTGAGTGATGACTTTCCTACAGGAGCTAACAGCTGTATGTGCAAATCATGCATATAAATCAATTACCAAGGCCTATGTACTTTAAATGCACCCATTAATTAAGCAATGTCAGATACAATGAACCGTGAAGTTCATTACATTTTTAGCATTCAATCCAAGGATTATTTGAAGAAGAAATTAGTTTACCTAATGATTAGCACAATAAAGTCGGGAGTTTGCAAGACATCAACTCATTGAGACTTGGCTCACTCTGGAAACAGTTTCTGAAAAGCCGCTTCCAACAGCAAAGCAGAAAGAAAGACAGACAGACATAGATGGATATTTTTAAATGTGAAAATACTGTGTTGCTAATGATAGTTATATAGACACGAGAAGGAGATAAAAGCCCCAGCTGCTTAAACCCAGCTATGGCCTCCACATAATGAAATATGGCTAGAACATTTTCAAGTCATTACAAGGTTCCACATTGTGACATAATTTGCATATTCATATATTTTTCAGCAAATTATTTTCCTGTGAGCAGGACATCTGCCTCTGTCTCTACTAAAATAAATAGATACATCCAGCTGCTTGCGCTAATACAGACCACTCTTCCTTAAGATTACAAAGCCTTTCATTTTTCTTGGTGATATTTTCTTAAAAACTTTTCATTAATAATAAATAAAGGTAGTGCTTCTCGACAGCAAAGCGATACAAAAACCAAAGGACAAAGCTAATTTAAAGTGTGTGATGGCTGTTCCTCTTAGTTTGTATTTTGTTTTGTTTAAGACTTCTGATTATTGCTCCACTATGAAGCGTATGGATGCTTTTTCTCATGTTAATATGCATGTGCAAGATAATAAAAATTCCTTACCTCTGTCTCAAACCATAGGATTCATCTTCCCTGAAATCCGGTTTCCCTTTAAAGCTGTGGTGGACTGTGGGATCCGCTTGCTGCCCCTGTAGTGTGTGTCTGTATGAATCAGAGCTGGGCAGTCCCGGTTCTTCAGGGCCAGTGTGTGTCTGCAACTATTCTAGGTCTCTTCAACCACCAGCAACTGAAGAGCTGGGAAGAAGCTTTTAGATTTGTCCCGTTAAGCCAATAATGAACTGATTGAGATTGTTGAGAGATTAGTTGGCATGAAAGCCTTCAGACACACTGGCCATTCAGGACCAGGAACACCCATCCCTGCTGCAAATAGTCCGACCATTCTGGGACTCTCCCATAGCAGTATGATACAAACAATGTTCCTGATTCGGACACAGGACCCCTTTGAGAAAACCTATGAAATGAGACATTTTAATGTTAGCACACTTAGCCTGATGTCGATGTGGCTTTAGGAGTGCAAATTAAATGCACATTTACTGAGAGAAAATCTAAAGAATGAGATGGAGCATTAGGACAGACTAAATTAATACATAAATTAGAACAATTAATACATAAATACTTGACAGATGAACAATGCTATTGTATGTCTGGCCCATGACAGGCATGAAGTGATTTTCTTGAAAGAGTTTGCACTCCTCTTTAATCGTATTAATGCAATACTGTATGATTAAAAAATAATAAAAGCAATTCTTTAATATACTGTAAGAGCGCTGACGATTTCACTCATCACAGAATCATTCCTTCTCTTTTGTCCCATGAACAACAGCACACTCTTTGGCGTAGCCTCCTTTTCTCCAGGAGCGTCAATCCGGATGTCTCCGAGCTCCAAAAATAGGGAGGTCAAGACAAACTATATAACTTTCAAGAAATAAAGACACAGTGCAATGTCCCCAGATAGATTTAAAAGAAATAAAGAAATCAGTGAAGCCTGGCAATGACAAACGTTTTTTTTTTTGCATTAGGGCGACTTGTTTGCTTTTCAGGTAAAGAATCAAAAGGTTTTTTTTTTCCCCACACAGACCAAAAACTAATAAGCAGGTTTGGTCCTGAAAAGTTTTAGATGTGAAAAGTACAGAATATATAATGTTTACAGAGAATACACAGTGGAGGCAGTGGAGGATCAATTTTCTCTTTAAAAAGACAGAACTTGGCCACAATTTCACTACAAAAAAAATCACTAAAAATATGCTGTGTGTTTCAGTTAACTTTTACTTAACCCTATTCTATTGTATTCAGTAACAAAACAAGTGCTTGAGGTTTGCAGGTTTTGCTGAGGTTCTTTGATGCTGTAAGGTGGAATGAGTGTAGCGTTTCTGAAGTCTCCAATACGTGAGTTACAAAAGCCGAAGGGTAAGTTAATATAGAATTAAGCAATGTGTTAATGTTATTATTCTTTCTGAGCTGTGGCTACGTCCTGAGGAAGAAGCTACAGTATGCATGTGTCTGCCCTAACTTCAGAAGTTGCGGTTTCTAAATGATAGCGGTGCAAAAAAAAAAAAAATTGTTCTGTTAAATCAGCAACAGTGAAGAAGGGACCTAAGGCCATTTTCGAACATAATAGCTGGTGGGAAATTCATTTTAAATTTCAATTATATTGAAATTTTATTTGTCATTTGAAATAAAATATTTGAAACTTCAGAATACCATCTTCTCCTTCCCCCTTTGTTTTAAGGAAGGCAGCTAGATACAGTTTAAGGGCTGAGGAGAATCCATACGCACAGAAGTGCTATCTTTCTGTTTTGCTCCACATTGCCCAAGAAACAAAAGGGGAATCTTGTGAATAAATGATACAATCGTCATGAACAAATAAAATACAGTATTGTTCCTTAATTTTTTTTCTCTCCATAAGTAAAAATTACCTGCTGAGAAAATTGTCCTGTAGACATGAGATGATTAGGTAACAAATAATAATTTAAGATGAAAAATGATCAGTACCTTTTGTTTGATTTGTTTATTTTTTCTGATAAATTGTACAGAGAATGAAGATGAATTGTACAAATTTTGAATATCCCAGATATCAGTTATTGACATTTACTGCACGTTTTAACGAACAAATGTTGTTTCCAAATATGTTTTTTATATTTCCATACCACTGTTAAAAACTACTGAACATTTAAAGTTTTTACCAAATATATAAATATTTAATTTAATAAGATAAGATCACTTTATTAGCCATATACAATTTCTTGCATGAGGAATTTGTCTCTTCGCGGACCCCAGCTTGCTCTCCATGAGACACACAGACAGGGAGAGAAGCTGGGGGTCAGAGAGCAGGGTCAGCCATTTGTACGGTGCCCCTGTATAATTCAATATAACAAAAATGTCCAGTAGGCTGACGATTTTTAAGAAGCCTCTGTCCGCTGGGCTTGTTTTTGTATCCTAGCATCAATATGCCCACACAACACAATGTGACTCTTTTTGCTTAAACAACCTCAAAAATCACCAATGTATAATTCAGCCTTCTCTGAAGACCTGCAGTTGGTATTTCAAAAAGATAGACAAGAACAGACCCTGCCTCCACCAATGTGACTGATAAATATCTCTTTAAAAATCATGAAACACAAATAAAGGCGTCTATATCTTTCTGTAGGAGCCACACAACAGGTTGTGAAAAGGGAAGATCTGTGCCACAATGATGTGCTTTAAAAAACTGAAAAGACACATTGCTGGCCTGAAAAAGTGAAGACAACTCTGACAATGGATGATTTATCTGGAATGAAAATACATTAAGAAATATGCCTGATTCTGTAGTGCAACATTATCAGTAAGGTGAATCTATCTGAACCACTCCTTTCATGACACAAACCTTTTGGGTTTCATTTTTTTGGGGTTGCATGATAAAAAAGTAGGGAATAATTACCTGAAAGTTGTTTCCTTATTAATCTGCATTTGAAGGAGGTCAGTGTACAAACATTTTTGCTTCCAAACAAAACTGACTTCAGAACATACTGTATGCCCTAAGTCTGCTTCACTCTGGAACAGGTTTAATTACGATTGTTCGGTCATTAATAACACACACTGTTCAAATTATATCCGGTACCACTGTGGATTGAACTGAAATTGCACCAGAGGGAGAGTTAAAAGATTTGATATAGAAAGCCCCATACTAGACCTCTGTTCTATTAGTCTTCCTTTAAAATGTCACAGGTACTCCAGAGAAGAGTCCAAGCACAGACCTTGTGCATCTCATTGAAAGAAGAAGGTCAGTGGATACTGTATAAGCAGACAAAACGATTCACATTTTCTACACATACAGGGCACTTTCTACTCATCCAGTTAATAATCTGACTGAATGCTTTAGTGGGTGTGTTTATAGTGTATGTGAATTATTGTGTATTTATTTATCCATCTATTAAAGGAGCTGAACATTCTGTTTTTACAGGGAATTTAACTTTACAGCTCAAGTGGGCTTTATTTTGTCTTTGGGGTATTTTTAAACACATCCAAAGCCATGTATATTTCACTTTGCTCAACCCTGAAGCTATGACCACAGTGGTTTATACACAGCAAGAAAACTTTAATTCCAAAAGTATAAGATAATGAGGACTATTCATGAGAGTCCCAGAAGGGTCCCTACTCAAGAAGTTTGGCTGTAATGACCATCTATAAAATGAACCATCATCAATGAAAATGACAGGTTATTAAGATTCTGGATTAAGCTATGAGTTTAATATGATAGGCTATCTATAAAACCTTTACAACCTGGTCCTATTTGCACAGATTACATCCCCAGTGCTCAATGCCAAAGACACATGTTAATAAGCTCACAACCTTTAATTAAGCAATATGTATAAGTAGGTTCCCATTAAGCTGTGATTTGTGGGCTAGTTCATTATAGCAAGCTCCAGCCACCAGACACATATTCAATACAAATCAAGCAGCCTGAATATTATCCAGCTTAATGTGAGCCCAATATTGATATTTTATCACTCCCTCTGATTAGTGACTTTTAGAATCTTCATTTTTCATCTTGTTGGGGCAGCAATGAAGACCTAATGACCCTAGTTAATTTTCTAATGGAATCATTAATTTACATTGTTTATTGGGTAATTAATTGCTCTAATATAAAACATATTTAAGTTTCTTCTCCATACAGTAAGTTTCATTGTGGTTTACACAACAATCCTGTAAAACGGGACACTTAACTCATTCTGCATCATAATGGCTTCAATAACCTCATTCGCTACAGCTGTTTGTTATTTCTCCCAATACCTGTCAGTATTTTTTTCAGTTTCTTGGTTACCTAATTACTTAAAGGTAGATATCTGCAGTGATACTACTGAAAATACTTCTGAATCTTTCTGGAAATAAATAATTTGACTTGAAATACTGAGCTTGAAGAAGGTGAAAAATGTACAGTAGATTTCTCGGCTGCTGGAGTCTTCAATGCTGGGTGTCAGTGATTGAATAGTTTCTGGACAGCAGTTGAATCACACCAACTTCTTCCAGCTGGTTCAACTCGTGAAGATCCTACAGAAAAAGAGAAGTTTGCTGTAAACGACCATAAATTTACCATTTGTTTTTAGCAGAACCTATTTCGCACTAGGCTTTCTTTCATTGAAAAAATAAACAAAAACTCCTGTAGGACTTGTATGCTTTTGAACAGTTAGAAACTAAAGCTGCAAAGAAAAAACAAACAGTATGAAAACATGACGGTCTGAACACAACACTAACTGAGTGAGACAACAAGGGACTTACAGACCTTTCAGCCCGCGAAAGGTGAATGGTGAGCCATCTTTCTAGATCAAAAACAACTTGTAAAACCTGGCATAGCAAATTCTTTTTGCCCGCCAATCTTGCGCCCACTGGTGACAGGTTGTGTGCTGAAGCCTGAGGAAAGCTGAAAAACCCTCCCGTGCCATCTCATCTCTCTCGGACACGAGGAGGCTTCCCAGGAGACCGAACTGGCCACAGGAGGAAAGAACACGCAATTTGTTTCCCGCTGCTACACTCACGCCACTCAGCTTTCTTCTTCCTGCCCCTCAACTGGCGTGTAGACGACGACCCTTCACCAGCGGCCTTATCGCCAGCCAGATTCTGCACAGTGGGGCTGACTTCACAGAGAGGAAGCCCCATGTCACCAGCGTCACCGGGTACCTTTAAAGACAGCCCAAAGTAATCATTTCATTGTCAAATACGGGTTAATAGAAGCATATTCCGTTTTAGAATGGGACAGTTATTAAATACGCTATTAGCGGATGCCATGTGTCATTCCCAGATGTCACTGGGCTACGAGACAAGAGTGATTAAAATCACTGTTTCAAGTGTGCTTAAGAGACACTTGAATCGCACAGGAAATTGAGAGTGGTAGAAAAGACCTTTGACTGCCCTACAGTCCTGAGTGTTCAGGCACGAATTCCAGCAAGAACAACACTTAACTTCACCTACTAATCAAGTACCAAATACCATAACTTAAGTGTCTAGCTTCCTGTTTCTTTAATATTCCTAATCACTTTCCCCAAATGATGCTCTCTGCAGTGCGATTCCGAATGATTAATGAAAATGAAAGCACAACTCTTTCAACAGCGAAAACTGCAGGCCGGGAACAATCATACTATACAGAAGAAACAAGTTAGGGCTCTTCAATCGTCATGCACAGAAAGAAGAGGATTGGTTTTTAAGGCTTTAGTATTACGGGAGATTGGAATAAAGAGTGCTTGAAGAGACACAGGACTATAAGAGTCCCGTCAAACTCTATTTAACCCTTAAAGCAGGGAATTTGAGTAGAGACTATAATGTAGTACAAAGCAAACAATGTGCCACAATGGAGATGCTTATGAGTGCAGAAAGTCACAAAAGACCCGTATAGACAATTCAACCACCCATTTACATGTATTTGCTGTGTTTTATGCAGCTCAAAGACATCACATTTTGAAAACAGAAACCTGTGGGATTGTTTTATCATGTATATTTCATGAGAGCCCCCAAAAAGTAACTCTGCCAGACAGGCACATAACTTAATCAATCCATGTTATGTCCAGAATAAAGGTCAGTGTAATGGTAATTAGTCAAAGAAAAAAAATGAAGAACTTAGTTGTGTAAGAAATTATTCTTTATGTCTGAAGGGTTGTAGTGACCTCAAAACAAATGAACCATGCTTTCAAGTTCCAATCGAGTGTACCACACAGTAATTATAAAATACGAACAGAAACAGAATTGATGTAGTTTGTCAATTAGTGTTGCTTTAAGGTATTTTTTAAAGGTTAATTTTTATTCAAAATATAAATTAGGTCAGTATTGGCAAGCATGATTTAATTTGGATATCTGCAAAGCTGAGTCATGGAAACTATTTGGAAAGAACACTATTAATGCTCATGCCAGTGAGTTAGTAAAATATAAAAATCTCGGTTTCTTTCATTTGATCATACAAATAAGATGAAACACAATATAAAAAAACTTCAGTTTTGCAAACTAGTTTTGCTAAAAGTCTAAATGAATTCAACAATTAGTCAGAAATTCAGCTAAAATCAGTCAGACGTTCTTCTAAAAAGCATGTGTTATACCCTGCATGGATCTAAGTAGGTTGCATTTTAAGATACAGATTGTTCTGTTTTGTAAATGTTTTGTTAAAGGAAAATCTGGTACTGTAGCATAAGCTATAAAATAAATACCCCCCTTATCCTATAGTTATTCACTACTTTATTCTCACAGTTTCGTTTTTTAACATTTTGCTTCACTGAACAGATTATCAGAATTATTTCTTCAACTTTTGATCATCATTGCCTGATAATGTATAAATTATTATATGAGTTCACCAGCACATATCATATAGTGTTATCATTACAAACAAGAGTAACCCAACACCAATTCAGTCTTCTCATTAACGGACACTGTCAAATGCTTTAATAATCTGTGGTGCGCTAACTATTCCAATGCAATATTTTAATGTGGATTCACCGAATGCTGCTAATAAAAAAAAACAAAAAAAATAAGCCTATTAAAACCTGTGGAAAAGTGAAGTAAATGTCTGTCTTGTGTTTATAGCACAGTGTTGTAGGTACTTATAAAATAAGCTTTTAAGCAACCCATAAATAATTTGTTGAAAGCTAATATTCAAGCTGTTCAAGCTTTAGTTGTGCATTTTTTATGGAACTTTTACACAAACAAATCTAGGCATCCCATATGCCGCAGAACACTCATATGTGAAGCAGTTTATGTAGCACAGCCTGCCAGCATCTATTTTAGGGCATACACACCGAGAGGTTAGCCTAGGAGAAAAAATACATAGAAAAACACAAACCTGAAAAGAGATAAATAGAGGAGGGAATGACAATGTAGCCCTTTCTCTCTGTGCTTTAAAAAAATAACCCTCATAGTGAAACCCAAATATTACTGACAAATTTGAGAATTCCTAAGATCTGCTAAACAAAGCAGCTAAAATAAAGCAGCTTTAAGTGGAGCCTGTATGGGAGGCAGAAAAGTGGAGTAAAGTGGAGTTTGAAAGCTGTGCTGCTACTGCAGTTGTTAAGAACAGTAGAGCACGTAAAGGGCCTTTTATTAAAAAAAATAGTGGCCAAGAAATATGTAGTTCTTGGAAGACAAAAAGATAACTGTTCACTGTAAACAATGTATAATACAAAAGTATAATCTGATGAGGGACAGAATGGTGGCACAGTGCATACTGTAGCATAGCTGTCTAGGTTTAATTTCAGACCTATCTGTGTGGAGTTTGTATGTTCTCCCCGGGTTTGTGCGGGTTTCCTCTGGGTGTTCTGAGTTCCTCCCACAGCCCAAAGACATACTAGTAGATTAACTGGTTTTACAAAAAACTGGCCCTTTCGGGATTCTGTGTGTGTGTGTGCCCTGTGATGGACTGGCGTCCTGTCCAGGGTGAGTGTGTGTCTTCACTTCACTTTTACTGAATGAAATTATACCTGACTAATTTATAATATCTCATCATAATCAATTGAATGACATTCTTCTGAATGAGTTTTCACAACTTTATTTTGCAGATGGACAAAAATAAAGGCTGAACATGTGTTTTTTAAGCATTATAAATACTGCACTCAGGTTGCAGAAATATTAGACTGGAGTACAGTACAACACAGGCACTGTTATTTCACACTCAGAACCTGCAACACAGGGTTCTTTGTTCAAAGGCAGAAACACCTCAATGTTATTTCTCTCGGAGGAGCTGTCATCTTAAATCTGAAGACCAGTTTGTATACAGCTTCTATCTTATATTCCTTTGAAAATTATATAAAACAGTAATAAAATCATCTCAAGTGTACTTCAGAGTGCTGTAAATGCCCTTTGGTTATTCTGTATGTACCTACAGTATATACATAAAGCCAGTGCATACAGTATTTTGAAGCGAATGAGGTTGAATATGCAAAGAGCCTTTTCCCATGAAGTAAGAAATGCAAGCTGCTTGGAAGCAGCACAGAGATATTACTGTTAGTGTTGTTTTGGGGAAAAGAAGATGCAGTTGCTGTTATAGTCAAGAGTGACTTGACATGTTATGATGTTCATGCTGCTCCCTTATAAAAAGGGACTAACATGGGATTTTATATATTATATTTTAATATACTAACAGCAAGTCTATGCTAATAATGTTGATAGCTTGTAAGCATCCACATTTTACATCTAAAATTACTTTTGAAGTGTTGAGAGTTTAGCTTGTGATAAAATATTAGAGTAGTGAGAATTTTTGTCATCACTTGCTTAGCAAACACCCTTACTTAAGGCATATTTTAATGTATTGCATTTATGTCATTTCCATTTTAATGCAGGTGCATTGAATGGAAATTTCTGTAAATGTTGTAAAAGAGAGATGTTTAGATGGTTGCTTTGAAAATTCACTGTTATTTTTTAGAAAACACTTATTGCTTGTAATGACAATAAAAAGAATTGCAAAGACATTAGCTTTCATTGCAGGTCTCTAAAAGCTTATTAAATAATATTTCCAAATGTATTTTTCCTCTCAGTAGAAAAATAAAATCAGGATTAATTTGATAGTCAAACTATATGCTTAAGAAACACTATGTAGGAGTGGGCATAAAATCCACTTCATTCCAAACAATTGGAAATTCACCATCTGTGATATGATATGATATTAAAACGACTTTTAATCTTTTAATGATTCACAGCTACAGTTCCCTTTTACTGTAAATCATGAGGAAACAAAAACAGGGAATTTGCGTCCATATTAAGCTTATTAAAGAAGTCTTGTATAATTTATGCTGCAAGCTATTACTAAAAAAAAGTTGTCTCGCAGGTTTTGGGTTTTCCTTTTAAAAAGCCACAGATCCTTCTGATGGCAGCAGCTTGGAGGAGAGGAGCCATCAGCGCCAGGGCTGGCTTGTTCGTCACTGTGTCTCCTAACCTGGCCCTGCTGGGTGGCACTCTGGCCCCCTGCAGAAAGTGACAGAGCTTGAAAGGAACCAGTGAGCTGCGTATACTGGAGTGCCCAAGAGCAGCTGGATTTCTTTTGTACTTGCTGATGTAACAGCGCCGGGAAGAAGCTCAGTAGTGGCACCGCAGACACAGGCAATTTTCAGAAGAGCCGATTTCAGCCCAGGGGGAAACCGTACCTCAACGATGGCCCCGTCAGGCTCTCTGAGGAACTGCCGATACGGCTTTCGGAGCCCGCTGAGGTGGATGGTGTAGACAGACACATGCGTGCTGATTTCCTCCTGGCTGGCTGGCAATCCAGGGGCTCCACTGCGATGCTGGGGGTCACAGCTGGAGGTGTCACAGCTAGCTGAGGGGTCTTTGGTCCAGATGTAGTCATACACTGCCACCTAGTGAGAGAGACAAAACACCCCCCCACACATCCAGCCACCCCCCAACATCCACTTTAATTAGGAACTGTCAAGGGCCTGTCATACCAGCCAGGACTCTCACTAAACACCAGCAACACACGGAGAATAACAGGCAGGGCTGAGCTGAGTACCTGCACTCACTTGCACATACACGCTGACGTCTTACAGTTAACCCCCGAGTGATCACTCCTGAGACCAGCATTCAAGACCGTTAAAGCTCAGAAAGAAAAGAAAGGGAACCAGGGCTGTTGACCTGTCTACTGTCCAAAGTGAAACGTTGTGAACTGTAATCCCATTAGTTGCTCTGAACTTCCTCACAGGGTGCATTGTGAAAGAAAGTCACACATTAAGTTGTAAAGGAATTAACCTGCTGTGCATTAGAGTTTCAAACATTATTTTAATTTCTAAACATTTTAATCTATAATATAAGAATCAACATTCTTCCTATCTGGATTTTGTTTTCCCTAAAATACACCTCAGGAACTCTGACTTTTTTTAATAAAAACGGGCTGTCTTCTCACATTTCTTTATTTTTGCTGTATATAATTGCAATTCTAGTTTTCCTGGTGTTTATTTGTGGTGCATTTCAAGCTCTTGTACCTGGAATGTATTTCACTCATCTATTAAGAAAACAGTCAAAGGAAACAGAGCATATAACATGTTATATAGGTCATGTAACTTGAAATCATTCATGCATTAAGACCATGTTGTTTCCCTGATATTTGATATATTAGATGCTCACTTGAATCAACTCAATAACCTTTGGAGTAACCTGTTTGCAGGTAAAACTAGAGATTGATTCACTGAGGAATAAAAAAAACTCACACAAGAGACAGCTAAACTTTCATGACAGCTTGCTTCGGTGTTTAAAGGTGAACTAATCAACCACCACACCAGGACCCTATCTCTGCAATCTTTCTACCTGACAAGAAACCACAAAATGCAATCACAACTTACAATAACGCCTCACTGAAAATCATCTTCTTGAATAAAAACAGATTATGAATACTGACTCACTCACAATAGAGACAAGCAGAGGCAGGCTTGCATTCTGATGGGTTCAGAACATTGCTTAATTAAAGTGTGAGTCACTAACTTGTAAATTGTTCTCTGAGTTTCTTAAATGTCTACATTCACATGAGGCGGGCTCAGAGAGGTTGAAAGCATGAGGAAGTTTCAAATCTTTATGTTTACGAATCCAAGATGACCTTCTAATTGGTTTAGTAATTATGATTCTTTAAGAAAAGCCAAGTGTTGGATCACTATAAAAGCAAACATCTTCAAAGAAACTGCATAGTAGGTCATGGTTAAGGAGAAAGTTAATTCTGTTCACCAACGTTTTGATTTCTTTAATGACCTAAATGGCTACTTAAAGCACAACTTTGGGTCATTAGCGTACATGAACCATTACCACACATAATTAGACACTCCTTAAAAATATTCAGCCTCTAAAAATTGGCCTCTTGTATGTTTTGTAAACATCAGCGAATCAGAAGAGGTAAAAAACGCAAAAGAACCCAAAAGGTCTCTAAAGCCTAAATTCTTGTCTCTCTGAACTAATGTGCTACTCACTTAACCAGTAAAGTAAGGATTAAGCACCCTAACTTGCATGTGGTAGATGTCTATTTAACAGTGTAACACTGGCAAAGGAAAGGCACTAAAACAATGAAACTTGCACAGGCAGAAGTCAGAAAGTAAAATGTATTATCTTAGAATACATATGACATTACATTAATTCATTATTGATAAAATGCTGTAGATATATTGCTTTAAATTTTAACACATACATGATGATTTTGTTGTATGCTGAAAAAATACTTACTGTTATACCCCCACACACACACACACAAGTCTAGGACCTGATAAAAACATGGAATTTTTAATTTAAATATCTATTGAATAATTTATGAATGGAAAAATAAAGTCTCAGGTTTATCCATATAGTTCATGGCCATCTGAAACACAGTTTTGATCTACATTATACAACAAAACATTGTTTGAAGCTTCTGAAATAGTCTCAGTGAAATTGTTGTTGGGTACATTTTCCTACCGTGGAAAAATTAAATGAATGTGTGTATGCAGAAAAGAGACATTTTGTCTATAAATTCTGTTAATTTTATTTTGTGATTTTTTGTGAAAATTTTATTTTTATTTTTTGATATCCCTTACAAAATAATCTTATTTTTTCACTAAAATAAAATACTGGAAATGCCCATATTGAACACAGTACTGTATATGTTTTAAAAGCTAAATAAAATACACATAGAACTGGGGCTTCTGGCTGCTTAAGAGCATTTTTCATTCTTCCATTTGATAGCACTAAGTGATGTGGCTGATTTAGAATCAATGCCTCTGTATTTTAGAGAGACCAGCTGTGGGTAAAACAGATAGGATTCAAGTGAGCTAACCTAATTCCAACACAATCTGCCCTGGATTTATAGTTTAGTGCTGCATTTAGAAATCTGATACAGTGCATATCTGTCTCATTTTGTGGATGAGGGGAGCAAACCAGTACTCCTTGGAGAATTATTAACATCAAAATAGATCACTCTGCATAGAATTAAGTGTTTTATTTTAAAATAAAAATAATTCATTTAATTTTTATAGAGTTTCTCATCCCAAAGGATCTCAAAGAGCTTTACATGTAGGAGGGGACCCACTTCATTTTTTGAAGGTATTACTGGAAATACATAAGTGCAGTAACAGCCAATCATGTTCTGCACAATAATACAAAGGCACCAGCCATTATTCCTTTGAATTGCATTATCTGCCAAAATGCATTCAGCAATCAAAGACAACGTTTTGCAATGTCATAACTAGTGACTGTGCATCTTATTGGCAAAAGCCAATATGAAAAATGTAAAATGTGGCGCACAACAAAAATAATACCAGACTACTCTGCATGCCAGTTAAGATGGCCTTGGTATCTATAAAGACAATTATTAGCATGCAGTTTTGCATGCACTATATATGAACACAAAGAGGTCAATTAATTTATTAAAAAAAAAAACTGAAGAAATTTTGCTTTTACTGTAGTGTTTTTGGTATTAAACAAACAAAAACTCTAAAAATCAGAAGAATTTTCATTAGGATAAGCAAATGTTTTCCACTGATGAATTTTGTTGTTATTATCAACTTTATTTCTGCAGTTAGTCGTAAAATCTGAAACAGGTTTTAGAAGCGGGAGTGTGCTATTTATTTCTATGAAAAGGAAAAAAAAAGACTTTAGGCAGTTAAGAATCTTTTCACCTGCAGCTTGTTGAATGAAAGTTAAATCCTTTGGCCACGTTCCAGGACAGCACTGATAAGGCACTGACAGAGCCGCCATTGTTGTATTAATTCTTTACTGATTGATACAAACGATATCTTTACTCCAGACTCCAAATCAGCCTCACTCCAAGGTTTCCGTTGATTCTAATTTTACTTTCGATTTGCATGCTCTTTGGGGCTAATTAAATATATTCTGTCAAGTCACTGAAATGACAAACAATGCCACGCAATTTTGGCACATTATTATGTATGAAATTTAGATATAATGTATTCCAGTTGGCTGAACAATTGTAGACTGTATGCAACGAGCACAACAAGCTAGACACAGAGCCCAGCCTGTACAACAGTTCACCTTCCTTTCTTCCCCTGTACATCAAGACAAAAGCTGCTGACCTGCCTATTCAACACCACCCACCCCCATCTTTCTCCCTAAACGCAATTTATGTATAGCGGCAGGTTTCCGCTGGGATCCTTTTGGTTTCAGTTCTGTCCCACTTGGCTTTAATTTACAGTGGGAAAATAATTAGAATCTCACTTTTCTGAAGACTGGAGTGAAAATGTAAACAATGCTTCCCTGCGGGCGAGTGCTTTATCAAGTTGACAGGTGCATTTGAATTTGCCTGGGTGGGGGACAGAGTAGGTTATTTATGTGTCAGTCTAACAGAGAGGCTTGGCCATCTAGATGGGCAGCACAGCTCTCTACCCTGGCAGTTCTGCCCCTAATCCTGCGACTCAGAACTGCGGCAAGCGGGCCAGAGACGCTCAGAAGTTAAAAGCATTTACCTGTGCGTAACCTCGCAGTGCCTGGAGGTTAGACAGCGCTGAGGCACCCTACACGAAATGTGGTACCTGGGAAAGGTTCTAAGGACCACAGAACGGGAGAATCAGAACAGCCTGTTCCCTGAAATGACTGCCTGTGTCACAGAAACCGCTGCACTGTCATAAGAAGAGGTGAGCAGCAATAAAGAAAACCATCACTCAGCCATCAGACATGAGAAATACAGTTTGTCGCTAGGGATAGCATAAATCTAAATATTCTGGTGTTAAAGATACAGTACAATTCAGCCTGCAGTGAGCTGAAGCCAGAGAATTTGAAGCTACAGGATTTGACTTCACCAATCGTTTCTTTCCTTCAGCCACATCTGCACACAGAGAACAAAGTCTCTCTTCCAGGGTGCAGGCTGGACTCGACAATCTAGGCGCTGTTCGTTCAGACCTGCCTTGGCCCAGATCTGACTGAACTTGGGCTGACGGGGTCGACTGTGGCCACACAACAGCCTGGGGACATGTGAGCCAGCAGCCTTAGTAGGTTTCTGCTCCATCCAACCCCGTCATGCCAAAGGCCATGGGGTGCGAGTTTAGGCAGCTGCTCGGCAGGGCTTTTTCTCAAGGTGTCACGAATTGTCCTTCCTCCTCCTGAGGGAACGCGAAGGCTGGTGCCGAGCTGAGTGACGTATGGTGAATCCAAACTGGGGAGGAGACGTAGACTGGCAAAGAGAATGGCGATTCCAAAGTGGGAGAGTGGGGAAAAATGGCAGATCACACCCATGTTCATGAAAGACTTTTTTATAAGACGGAAAAAAGGTAAATACAAGCAGAAAATATATTTCCTTATTTAAAGACCAGGGTTCTAGAAGTGTTTTATACAGTAGAGTCCTTATTCTGTTCTCAGAGCTGATTACAAAGAGGAGCAAATACTGAGAACCATT